CTTCAGCCTGCTTGTGACGCCAACTCATGCCACACCGCTCTTGAGTCACATTCATTGACTACAGACAGTATTACATGAAACCAGATGAGATCTCGGTGTTTATTTGAAAACAAAAATTTTATGAGTACAGAATGTTGAAATATGATTGTAATACAAATGTGTCAATCTAGTTGGTAACCAAATCATTAATATCATACAGTGGGTGACACTTCAAAAGGACTATTATCGTGGTGTTTGGCACCGCCACAGCAAGGGATTAAGAACGTTTTTAGATTTAACAGCAGTTTGCAACTGTGCCAGGGACACAAAAGAGCAGGATGCAAATGGACAGAAATGTACTGTATACTGTTAAAAGCTGTAAAAACCTTTCTACTTGCAAATGAAGATAAAATAAAAAAAAAACAAAGCATTATAGTTCCTTCCCTGATCATTAAAAACTTGTTAAGCTTTATTGGAAAGCAAACTTAAAGGAATAAAATACAACTAAAATAAAATTACAAGCATATATACACAAACAAACAAATAAATAAATAAATAAATAATGCAGCGTTTTAGCTGTGAGTGTTTTGAAAGTCACAGGACTAAGACAGTCAATAAATAAGCTTTTTCATTTACAGTTTTCATTTCTGTTTTCTTTGTTGATTATGTTTTACAATCTCATTTTATGTCTTAATTATTGTACATAAATAATAAATGAATAATTAAATAGGCCTAAATTTTTTTTTAAGACATTACCAGCGAAAGCATTACCAGTCCGGCGTATGGTCTAAAGAGCTCTTACAGTAAGTTGAATGCTACTTCATCAAAAGCATAAAAATAAATTGATGCGTATAAAAAATGGTTGGTGGAAAGGCCATAATGTGCATAAGTTTCTACAACGTGCATAAAAAATGTTTGCGCATAACTGAATAGGATAAACTTTTTATTCGAAAAGAAAAGATGCGCATAAACTAAGATGAAAACACTTTTACCGAACAAATACAAGTATGCGCATTAAAAAATAAAAACATGTGATTTTGTTATAAGAGATCATGTGATGATAAAAATGTGTATAAATGGATAAACCAGCAGGCTGAGCACACTGTAAAACATCTGAAATGTTGTTTTGGTCATTCTAAAACGCTTTAAGCATTTAGTATTAGTGTTATCTTATTAATTACCTCCAGAATCAAGATCGTCAGTGCTCTATGTCTCATGCCTTCAAACGCCACCACACTTTCATTGCATGTCGTCATTTTTCTTCTGAGGAATTTATTAAATAAAGAAAAGATTGATGCAGTAAATTCCATTTTTACTTGTGATATTTGGCAGCAGTTAATCAGGAAGTGACGATTTTGTTCTCTTTGACCCATTGGATGGAAACGCTGCGTACAGTCTTTAATGCAGTATTCCTGTTTTGCACATAAATTTATTACCATCTTTGGATTGAAACATAGCTATTGTCTAAAATGTCCACTAGTGAGAAATAGTTTGTGTATTTTTAATTGTTATAATTTTTACGACATTTTAAAATCGCTAGTTTCCCAGAGATGGGTTGTGGCTGGAAGGGCATCCGCTGCGTTAAAACTTACTGGATATGTTGGCGGTTTATTCAGTTGTGGCAACCCTGGATTAATAAAGGCACTAAGCTGACAAGAAAATGAATGAATGAATGAATAAAATCGCTAGTAATTAATCATTGTACTTCAAACTGTGGGTATTGTAGGTGTAGTTCAAATGCTCAAATTATATAGAAGTTCAAATTATTTTTATTTTAGTTTAAATTACTTCCATGCTTAGACTGAGAATTTGTAGACATTTAGTTCGCACTGTATTTTCATTACCTGAACAATTGACAAATTAAATATGCCATGTACTCTTTGTGAAGGTCTGTGAAACTAGATTAGTGGAGTAAATGCCTTAAACAAACAGTAATCTGACTACAAAAAGATCTCATAGATGATGTAATGCGGTTTTGCCAAGCCCCAAAGACTTGGTCAAAAAACAGAGAATTGGTGCCATGCAGTGTCCAGTTCCATTGCTTTTAAGCAGAAATCAACCAATCATGTAATTGAAACGAGGTGTCTTCCCTTACGTGGCCTCTTCTGAACTCTACTTCTTTTGAATGGTATTTCCAGACACAGTAGTCCTGTCATCTGTGTTCCATCAATGCCTCTAATGAGATCACTAGTGGATTTACACTATATAAAGAAGAGTTTGTGTGGTGGAGTCTATTGTTACCAGCAGAGTGGGCCGAATCAGATCAAAGCAGGAGCGCAGGATGAAGAAAGAGAGATGAAGAGCAGAATTGAAGTTAGAAACAGACGGAAAGGATTGACGAAAAGAAGGGGAGTCTGAGCAGAGTGGAAAAAGAGAGAGGTGGAAGAGTAAAGAAATACAATGAGAGGGGTGTGGAAAGCCTTCTTACTTCCTGATGCTTTCAGGAATATGGTTATAGAGCTAGAGCAGTCATAGACAGTTAAGAATACTCCCCCACCTCCTTTCAAGCATGGGATTCATGGGAATCCAGTTTGAGATTCACAATGATGAACATGTAACATATCACTGAACATGAACTGGACTGATGGATAAGGCATACTTGCACTAATGCAGGACATCAGATATTCACATATGGGCAAGGATTTGGTGTCAGTACAAAATGAAGCAATTGTTATGCAGGTTTACCTGGTTTTAATTGTATAATAATATCTCTTAGTTATGATCTGTTTAGTTTTAGTTGTGCTTTTCGTTTAGCATTACCTTGTTGTAACCAGCAGGTGTCTTTAGTTTGCTACTATTGCATCCATGCTCAGTGTTGGGAATAACGCATTACAAATAAAGCGTGTTGGGTAATAATATTACTTTAACGATATTAAGTAACGAGTAAAGTAACACATTACTTTTAAAAATAAGTGATATTATTTGAGTTACTTTTTAGTTTAATTAATTAGCTTTTAAAAAGAAATTGCTAAATTAAAATTAAAGTAGGCGCAATTAATCACGCAGTCAATGAGAGAATGTGTTTATTATTTTGAACGCATTGAAGAAAATGAAATCGCCATTCATGAAGTTCTCAGATAACATTATTCTAAAATATAAAAAATAATTCTCTATTTGAAAAAAATGCCAAAAAGTTCTGAAAGAGATCAAGTCTCAGCCAGGTAATAAAAAGTAACTCAAAAGTAACGTAACTATAGACTGTAAAAGATATGGAGGTAGTATTCGTGACGTCACCCATAGATTTCTAAAGAGCGCAAATGATGCTACAAATAGGCGTGGCCAACCGTAGCCATTTTGTTCACGTGTCATCGCACCGACCTCGGCATATCAAACAAGGTCAAAGAGGTGGAGCGTGAGCGGAGCTACAGATGCCTGCTAGCAATTGCTTAGACAGGCTTTTCTAACAATCTTTCAGCTAATCAATCTGTAAGATTTTGGAGTTCATTACAGGTCTAAAGAAAAATATAATGACCATTTATCTTAAATAAAACAAATACATTTATAGATATGGTAAGTTTATAATGTCACTTACCTGGGAAATAGGGGCCACGTGAATGGTTTGTGAGCACAATTAGGTCCACACAGCATGCCATATTATCTGATAATTATAGGAAATAATTATAAAAAGAATTTAATGTGCAAAGCTACATAAAACAAAAATACAATGTATATACCAAGTTCAGCAACTAATCAGAGTAACATGATGGCGACCCGTGAGACCTAGCTGTCACTCAAGTGGCCACACCCTTAATTATGCAGACTTTTTTATAACTTTATAAAAACTAAATGGATGAGTCATAAACAGTTGTCATAAAGGGTAATGTTAGCTATGTGAACCAAAACCATCTTTTGTACCAGCCTGTAAACTTGTTTTTATTAGCTGTAAAATTGGCCAATTTAGCATTGCAGTCAGTAAACATCTGGACTTTCTGGAGCCAGCCCCCAAAGGCGAGTTGATAAATTGCAGTTTCAGTTACTTCCGTATTGGCTTACGAGGAAGAGCGGGATGTTGCAGCTTAAACATAACACATTACTTACCATAAAAAGTAACTAAGTAACGCAACTAGTTTCTTTTTTGGTGAGTAATTCAATATTGTAATGCATTACTTTCAAAAGTCACTTTCCCCAACACTGTCCGTGCTAGTTTGATTAATCAATATAATTAGTGAATTTAGCTACCACAGTCTGTAGAAGTGGAATAAAAACGAATGATTTTCCTCAGCATTCTCAAAGAAAGAATCAAGCAAACTAGCGCTGGATACAGAGTAGTTTTATTTTTATACTTACATTTGCCGGCCTGGCTTCCGTAACTTTCATGTACTTTTAATATTTTTTTCCAATTCTATATACATTTTTTTTCCAAGGTAGTCATTATCTATAAACAATATTTTAAGAGAGATAAAACATCAAGCAGCTTCTCATAATGTCATCTGTAGCTTTAAATTGCGAAAACCCATTTTATATTTCAATGGATTCTGACTGGCTGACCTTTTTTATGTTTATTAGCTAGAAGAAAATAATTCTGATAGTAATCATAATAGTATCGTTGCTATGCATCTTTATTGTTATAGTTTCGGTCTGAACTGCTGTTTTTTTTACATTTAGAACAATTTTAGAACTCTATCTTTATTGTTTTTTGTATAGTTGGCGTGCTTAATGTGAATCACTCTTTATTGTCCATATCATTGCCTTTTATTTTTCAGAGTTGTCCTGTTTCTGTTTAGTCTCTATAACATGCACACATACATTCCTCTGCTTTAACACACTCTAATACTAAAAAAAAAAAAAAAAAAAAACTTTACATAAATCCAGCTCATGCCTTTACTATCATTATCATCATTACCATTTTCATATCTGTCACTTTTTTTTCCACCCATACACAAGGACATGGCTTTGAGACTGTATTAGCTGTATTAGCTTGTCCAGGGAAAGTTTAACAATGCTTGAAGGTGATGTTTATAGGCCTGTATCTTTTAATTAGTGCCACCAAACCTTTGTAACCCAAACTCTTTCTTTCTCAGGCTGTGGAGTCTCAAATCAGAAGTTTTGGACAGACACCCTGTCAGCTGCTAATTGAGCCTCACCCGCCTCGCAGTTCTGCCATGCAGGTGGTGAGTAACACACACACACACATACACACACACACACACACACACACACACACACACACACACACACACACACACACACAAACACTCTGACATCCTAACTGTCATGTTCAACATTAAGACATTCACAAATTGATTATCATGTTCACAACTCAAAAAATGGTACATCAGTGAGTGTATTGTCACATAATAATCTAATCAACTGATGACACTCTTTATTTACAGGTCAGGGTTGTTAAATTAACTTGATGTACTAAAACTACTAACTAAAATGAACAGATCAAATATTAAAGTCAAATATAACAAAAAAAATCCCAGTAATGCTAAAACAACAGTGGGAGAGCTACAGGAAATGAAAATAAACATGCTGGAAAATAACCGTAAGAAACAAATTTGCTTACACTCTTTTCTCATCATTTTATTATTTCCTCTTCAAAAATACAAATTGTTGTTAATAAATGGTTGAACATTGGCTACTAATAATGAAAATGTTAGTGTTAATTTGGATGCAGAATAATGGTATTGCTCACACAAAAGGACTTACTCTTACAGAATTCCTCGAAACTAAGAATATGTTTAAAAAATTACAATGTAGCCAAAAACAGAAAATAATCAATCCGCATTCAAAAATCTTTAAAAATGACCAAAAAATGCTGTATTAATTATACAAGGTCGGTATTTGCAGCTGTCAAAAGTACCTGTAGGGAAGTTTAGACATACCACACAAATGCATGTTCACTATTGGTTGTAATCTAAAGTAAGTCTGCACCTTGCTGATGAAGCATAACAAACACTTTAGCAACAACAACAAAAGCTTGTCTTTAATTTACACCTCCCTAAACACGTACAGTACTATGCACAAACTCGATGCCTTCATTTTCAAAGACTTTTCTTTTCGGTTGTTTAAACAGACATGATAATGGAGGAATTTTCAAAAACATTATTTGTTTTTTTTATTCGTTTTATTTTTTTTTTCATTCACAAAAACATGAACAAACAGGCAAAATGCATTAAAAGTTTATACTCCTAAATTGTGTCCATTACATTCACCCAATGTAGTGATGCAATTCCTGTTCAGTCAAATATTGATTCCTTTATTTTCCCTGACTTTCTCTTTGGCACTAGCCGCTTAAGGTTTTCTGTGTACCTTAAATAATATAATAAAGTAAAACAATATATCATTTTTTTATTATTTAATGCCTGCCTACTTAAAATAAATAACTTTTTTAGGAAGAGGACTCTCTCTTTGAGTTGATTTAATAAAATTTAATACAAGGTTGATCCATGATTCGTACGGATCACAACCCGCGGTTTGCAACCCATGTGACCTGCCTATTAATTACTTTTTTGAACTTGTAGGTTAATGCAACATGTTTTCTGTCACTGCTTGTTTATCCTGCATTAATGCATTTAGTGTAAATCTGCACAATTAAGCTAAAAGATTATGATCTCAATTCAAACCTGCCCAGCATGAAAATATGATAAATGATAATGATTTGTTTATTAATCCTTCGAAGTGCTGCATTCAAATCTGTGTTTGATTGAGAGAGATTCAGTTTTTACTCTTGTTCATTTAGTTACAAACAATTAAATAACACAGAAGTACTGGGGTAACAGTTTATAGTTCAGATATAAACACTGATGTTTATGGTCAAGATTAAAATATCTATTTAATGGAACCTGAAGCTAGTGAATGTTTTAGCAATTACATTGTGTAACCAATGGGTGACCATCAAAAATATGCCACTGAATAGGTTTTCAAAAAAGACCCATCTATAATGAAACATGAAGTTTTATGTGTGAATTATTGAATCATTAATTGAAAATTAATATGAAATGTTGTACAAGATGTTAGATTTCTATATTTAGCATAATCAGCAACAGTAGCAAAGATCATTTTTCGTATTGTATATCTCTCTCTCTCTCTCTCTATATATATATATATATATATATATATATATATATATATATATATATATAGAGAGAGAGAGAGAGAGAGAGAGAGAGAGAGAGAGAGAGAGAGAGAGAGAGATATACAATACGAAAAATGATCTTTGCTACTGTTGCTGATTATGCTAAATATAGAAATCTAACATCTTGTACAACATTTCATATTAATTTTCAATTAATGATTCAATAATTCACACATAAAACTTCATGTTTCATTATAGATGGGTCTTTTTTGAAAACCTATTCAGTGGCATATTTTTGATGGTTGTTTGTCGCCACCTGTTGGTTAATTGGTTACACAATGTAATTGCTAAAACATTCACTAGCTTCAGGTTCCATTAAATAGATATTTTAATCTTGACCATAAACATCAGTGTTTATATCTGAACTATAAACTGTTACCCCAGTACTTCTGTGTTATTTAATTGTTTGTAACTAAATGAACAAGAGTAAAAACTGAATCTCTCTCAATCAAACACAGATTTGAATGCAGCACTTCGAAGGATTAATAAACAAATCATTATCATTTATCATATTTTCATGCTGGGCAGGTTTGAATTGAGATCATAATCTTTTAGCTTAATTGTGCAGATTTACACTAAATGCATTAATGCAGGATAAACAAGCAGTGACAGAAAACATGTTGCATTAACCTACAAGTTCAAAAAAGTAATTAATACGCAGGTCACATGGGTTGCAAACCGCGGGTTGT